TCCTGCTGATCCTGGTCTTGCTTTATATGGTGTTTAAGGCACCCAAGCCTATTTTGGCTTCTAGATTTTATTTTCCCTTGTTATAAAAAAATCATCTTAGAAAAAAAAACATTTTCCCCTGATCAAATGTGTCCTTTTTCCATTTTATGGCATGTTTGTTTTTCTTTGTCCTGTTTTCGGTTACTCAAACTGGTAGCACTGCTCCAGTGCAACCTAAAAACCAGTTCCCAATGCCACTGTGTTGGCTGCTGGTGGCTGATGGCTGGGCTGGGGAGCCACCCGGGCTGCCGCAACCAGCCCTGCCAGGATCAGAGCTTTGGTTTAGTTTCTTTGAGTGATAGCAAGAGCCATATGGAAGAAAATGGACATTGCTGTACTTTATTGAAAGAAAACCACTTTCTCCCCTGTCCTGGCTGCTCTAAGCACCACATTCCCATGTTCCCTCTCTTGAGAGAGCAGTGTGTGCTCAGTGAGGAAAACCTTTGCAGTGGCAGAGGCTGTGCTGTGCCATGGGAGCCCTAGGACCGGGTGTGAATCGCTCAAGCAGGAGCCTGGGAGCTGCTTCTCTGGCTCAGTGTTGCTGCGTTGGCCTGGGCTGTGCAGGGCAGTGCTGGAAAGGGCTGATGTGTGCTGCTGTCCAGTGTCTCATTGACTTCAGCCTGACCCTTTGCAGTAAATTTCCTTTCCTAGACAAGCTTATCTCTGCCCGGGAGCCCGGAAGGCAGGTGCCCAGGTGACAGCCTGTTTCCTCATTTTGGTGCTTTGTGGCTTTGCTGACATCCTGCCCGGGTCCCCAGCCGCTCTGTCTGCCGGCGTGTGACCCTCTGCTGACTTGTGTTTCCTGTTAGGTGTGGGATACCTGTACCACATACAAGTGCCAAAAGACCTTGGAGGGTCACGATGGAATTGTACTGGCTCTCTGCATCCAGGGGTGAGTGGAGAGGGACACCTACCCCTGCAGGAGAGAGCGGGGAGAGCACTGGGGCTCCTGAGCATGCCCTTACAATTCCCATCCTCAGTCCTGCACGTGCCAAGATTGTGCCCAGGAGGCACATCTTGCCTCTTTGCTCTTTAAAAATTGACAAAGCACGTATCTCTTTGGCCTCCCCTGCTGTCCTGGCTTCCTTCCCTGGTCACCAGTGGGGTGCCTGGCCTCCTGCTCAAAGGGCCAATCCAGCCCGGCCTCCCCACAAGACTGGGGCTCCACTCCTGGGGTTGGTGTGTTTAGTTCTGGCCCAGTGAGACTGTGGGACTGCCGCTCTTCACCCAGCACGGTGCCTGGGAATGAGCTGGGACCCTGCACTCGTTGCTCTCCCTTGCTGACCTCCTTTTGTTTTCTGGTGACATTACAGGAACAAGCTGTACAGTGGCTCTGCTGACTGCACCATTATTGTGAGTACCCAAGACCCCTGCTCTGCTTCGCAGTTGGGATGTGAGCTCAACAGGCCAGCCCCAGGCTGTTGTAGAGCAGGGTCCTGCATCCTTTTTTCTGTAAGGCCTTTCAGCTGCCAGTGGTGTAAGACCCGTGTGTGCTTTATCTGCTGCCTTCAGCCAGGTTACTCGTGGGTTGGATATGGGTGTTTCCTGCAGGCTGGATTTCCCGCTCCCCGTTCCTGCGTGGGGAGCAGGAGGCTGGTGCTCTGAGCTGTGGCAGGGTGGTCAGTCCTGCTCCAGCCAGGACAGTGGCTCATACAAGTGCCCAGTCCTGCCTGTGTTTTTGCCTGTGTGTGCCTTCAGAGGCAAAGAGGAAGGGCTTCAGCACAAGGGGCCTGCCACTGCCCATGCCCCTCACGGGCATTCTTCTTCTCCTTTGCAGGTCTGGGATATTCAAAACCTGCAGAAAGTGAACACGATCCGAGCACATGACAATCCTGTTTGCACTTTGGTCTCCTCGCACAACATGCTGTTCAGCGGCTCTCTCAAAGCCATCAAGGTAGAGCTCTGGGGTGGCTCCTTTTGGTCTGGTTGGGGACCGATGGTACAAACTGTCAGGCAGCAGTGTCCAAACAGGACATTTTGGTCTGTAGACGACCTTGTTGCTATGCTCTCCTGAGCCACACAGAGAAATGCAGCTACACAGAGCAGCCAGCACTACAGAATTTTAGCCTGCGCTCTGTGCTGAAGTCAAAGATGTTCTGGGACCTGGCTGAAAAAATAACTTTTGTTTCTTCTAACTCTGTAAACCTGAGGCTGCAGGTGGAGTATCTTGGCGGTTCCTGAGTGTGGGTGTTCTTGGGCCCCCAGCGGAACTGCTCAAACCATTGGGAATTGTGTCTGGGGTCCAAAACTGGCTGGGGATTCAGGCTGCCTGTTTTGAAACCTGCTCCAAAGGATCTTGAATCTGCATTCTTTACCTAAAGCATGCAGAAATCAGGGAACAGCTTTGCAAGTTGCCCTTTAAAGCCTTGGCTATATTCCCTTGGTTCTGCTTCCAGCTCCTGGTGAGACGGCTTATGGGACCGTCCGTCTGTAAGAGGGCGCATGCTCTTTTCTTTATCTGGGGCCTGGAGTGCTTCAGCTATCTAGAGAATGCTCGGGGCTGGAGGAGCAGTGAGACAGCACTAAGCAGAAGGAGAACTTGGGGCCTTTTAGTTTCATCATCCCCAGCCACTTTCTGCCAGATTTTCCGAGCTGGCTTGGAGCGGCGGGGTGAGATCCATCAATCCCTGCATGCTGGGGGTTTCAGCCAGGGTTTTCCAGGAGCTGTGGGGAATGGAGCTTTGTGGGGACAGGCTGGGAGTGGAAGTCCAGAGCCTTTTTTTACTGTAGATTTGGTTTAGGTTTTCAAGCCCGTGGCCCTGCTAGGGAAGGGTCTCTGCCAGTGATAATACAGGCTTCAAGGGAGCTTTCCCAGGCCCTCAGGGAACAGGCATATTCAGCACAGTTATTGTGTGTTTTATCTGCAAGTCAGTGGGTTCAGGTGATTCCCACGGGGCAGGAAAGCCAGCACGAGGTTCCCCTTAGTGAGCTGGTAGAGCCTTATGCTGGTTGGGCAGGGGTGGGCAGCGCCTGGCTCCCGAGCTAGAGACCGACCTGGTCTTCCCCATCACTGCCCCGTCCCACTGACACTCTCCTCCGTGTGTGTGGTGTTTGTGCTTTCCACAGGTCTGGGATATTGTAGGTACCGAGCTCAAACTGAAGAAGGAGCTGACAGGTCTCAATCACTGGGTGCGAGCACTGGTGGCTTCTCAAAACTATCTCTACAGCGGATCTTACCAAACAATCAAGGTGGGACCTTGAGACTCGTGGCAACTGTAAGCCATCGGCTCTCCCCATTCCTGTCCCTATCTGTATTCTGCAGCATGGGTTGGTGGAGCAGGACAAAAGGTAGCTGCTGGGATGTGAGAGCACTGCCATAGCCTTGCTGACACACTAGATTTTACTGCGCTGATTGCATCTTTGCAGGCACAAAAGCTGGGCTCTGGCTGGTCCTTGGGAGCACAGCTGCTGGGGGGTGCTCACAAAGATAAAACGTGGCCTCACAGCTATGGCGCTTCACGCTGCCTCCGCAGCTGCCGCAGCGTTATCTGCACTGACAGTCCTGCTGATAAGAGGAGAAGGTCACTGTCTGGCTGCAGAGTTACCATAAATCTGTGTGTGGTTTCCAAAATGCCCTCATCTGTGTGGCTCAGGCTTTGATGAATAGGTCACCTCTCAGCACCTGGGTGACACAAGAGAATCTGAAGTTTCCCTCCTCAGTGTTAATAAATCCCTGTTAATTTGTCTGCATCAGTTTTTAGTGCTATTGAGGACTGGGATGTGTGTGCACAGTCACACACAAAGGGTGTGCAATCTCCACAACTTTTTCAGCTTGGGTGTTCACAGCTGGGCAGCTAAATAAGACACCAGGACTTTGCTCATCAGTACTGAACATTCCCAGCTGGACAGATTTGTCCTTAAAATGTGATCTGGGCAGACATGGAGCCAGGCTGACTCTGTGCAAGGCTGGAGAAGAGCTTCAAGGGAGCTCCCTCCTAGAGAGGGGTCCCCGCACGGGTCTCATCCTGCTTTTGCTCTGGCCTCTCTTTCAGATCTGGGACATCCGCAACTTGGAGTGTGTCCACGTGCTGCAGACATCGGGAGGCAGCGTCTACTCCATCGCTGTGACAAACCACCACATTGTGTGTGGCACCTACGAGAACCTCATCCATGTAAGGGCTGCGGGGTTTGGTGCATTTGTTGGCTTGAGGTTGGGGGAGAGGGGCAAGGAGATGGCTCTGCCAGTCCCCTTGATGGCACACCCAGAGCATTGGGTGCGCAGCACCCACCCTGAAGGTGTGTGTGGAGGTGGAAACGCCTCTCGGAAGAGAAGTTGGTGGTCTGCAGCCAAGTGCAGTCTCTGAGCCCTGCTCTCCTCCCGCAGGTCTGGGATATAGAGACAAAGGAGCAAGTTCGCACGCTGACTGGGCACGTGGGTACGGTCTATGCCCTTGCTGTCATCTCCACGCCGGATCAAACCAAAGTCTTCAGTGCATCATATGACCGGTCTCTCAGGGTACGTGTGCAGGGGTGTGCAGCTGCCTCTGTGCATTTGGCACTGTTGTTAAAACATGGACAGCCTTGAGAAAAAGGGAGGACAGGGGATCCTCATCCCTGTGTGCCACGAGGCCTCGTATTTAATTTGTGTCACCTGGCTTGAACCCTGTGGCATTTGGCATCTCCTGTCCCTCCCGGTGCTCAGGATGTGCCAGAGCCCCATGCTGCTCGCTTGGCTCACACATCCTTGTGTGCCCGTAGGTGTGGAGCATGGACAACATGATCTGTACTCAGACGCTGCTGCGACACCAGGGCAGCGTCACTGCCCTCGCAGTCTCCAGGGGCCGCCTCTTCTCCGGCGCCGTGGACAGTACTGTAAAGGTTGGTTTCCTCAGGCTTCTCCTTAATGTTTTGGTCTCTTCCAGTACTAGAACTAGGGCATTAAATGAGTTAGGAGCCATCTTCAAACAAATGAGGGGATGGTTCTCAACGGGTGGGAGGTTTAACTCCTGGCCGAGGGTGTTGTGGATGCTAGAAGCCCAAAAGGGAGCTCCACAAGGGGATGAAGCCCACTGAGCTGCTCAGAACAGTTGCTGCCAAGGGTTCCTGTTGTCTCTCCTCCACAGGTCTGGACATGCTAGCGTGAGTGCCGCACTAGTCCTGCACACTGAAAGACCAAAAACTCCTCCTCTCCGTCAGCCTGCTGGGTGACTAACACCACTATGAAAGAACTGCTGCAGCTCCTCTCCGCACCGACCACTGCCTGCCGCTGCCCATCGGCCGGTTACCCCACCCGCAAGGACCCTGGCTGGCAGCTCTCAGGTTGGGTCTGGCCCACGGATGTTCCAGATGTTTCCCCGCATCTGCCGTGTATGATTGGAAATGCAGAGGAAGCCGTTCTGCTGCCAGAGCTTTCCGCACCGCAGGGTGCCCTCCTCTGCCTGCATCCCCCCAGCTGGGGAGCACCCTCCGGGGCCAGGGCCGAGGCGAAGCTGGGCCTTCAGGCCAGGGCAGCCCCTCAGGGCACCGGCGCAGATGCAGTGCAGCCCTCGGCCAGCGATGGGACTCAACGGTTCACCTTGTCGCAGGCAGGAGCCGGCCTGGCCAGGGCAGCAACGCTGGGAGGCTGACCCCCCTTTGTAAATGGTAGAACTGAGCATTAGGCGTTGCCCTGGGTTGGGACCCCAGCCCCTTTCTGTCTCTCATATTTAATTTTACTGCCAAGACTGTCAGGCTGATCCATCTGGGAAGAGGTGTTTTCTTGAGTAGCCAGGTACGATTTTTATGCCACAGCTAGTTCTCAAATCAAGTAACACAAGCCCATCATTCACCACCCTGTAATAACGGTCTCCACATTAAAGAGAAAAAGCCTCCGTTGCTTTTTTACTCACATTTTCTACTGTTTTTAAGATTGTAATATAGATTTGATTATTTCTTCATTGACAATAAAAGCAGAAAGAGTTGTTCCTGGCCAGCGTGAGTTATTGCAAGCTCTCGGCAGGAGGGCAGTACTGCTCCTGTGGCAGCTCTGGGCTCCAGCCTGCACCCATA